TTTTGTGGCAATATTGCAATAAGACTACAATTGTATGAGTAGCATTTAATGAAATATTATAGAATTATCATTTCAAGTTACCATCATGGCAGAATCATTCATGAAAATAAATTTTAAAACAAGAGGCCCATAGGCCACATCGCTCACCTGAATAGCTTTGACCATGCCGTTTTTTAACCAGATTTCTCCCTGGTAATACCTTTTGTGACCCAACCCTACCCCATGGGTCATAATATGGAAAATTTAAAATCACAACCCCCTTTTGCATAAGTTTCAGCATTTCTGGCCCAGTAGTTCCTGAGAAGATTTTTAAAGATTTTTCTTAGCTATTTCAATGTAAAACTTGGGTACTCTATTGTGGCCCCATCCTACCTCCAGGGGGGTCATGATTTGAAAAATTTAGAATCTACACTACCCCAGGATGCTTCCACATAGGTTTCAGCTTTTCTGGCCCAGTGGTAAATTCTTGAGGAGAAAATTTTTAAAAAGTTTAATACAGTCAATGATAACTATTTTAACAGCATATAGGCATCATAAGATTAATTATAAATCAATTATCACCTTGCAGTATTAGTGTCACTTGAATAAACAAGTCAATTCATGAGAGCCGCATCTTCTGCCTGGGGCCATTAAATGTCCAGGTAAAGTTGCTTTATGTAACTTTGTATAAACATAGCCACTTCGAGGTATCGAGGGCAAATTTCAATAGAATATGCAAAGCGGGACTGCATTTTGACTTTGAGGGATCAAGGGTTTCGAGAGATCAAGAGTTCGAGAAATCAAGAGTAAATTTGCTTAGACATCTATATCGGCGGGACAATCGGGAAATGTTGAGATATCCAAGGTGTCGAGATATCAGAGTTGAGACTCAACGTCCTTATTATTTAAGTACAGCATCGTAAAACATGTACGTGTAACTACGTACATGTCTTCAATAGACCATAGCTTGTTTGTTTCAGCTATCCCTCTATATTTATTAGAAAATCTGAAGAATTATTCACAATTGAAATTTAATAAAATGCTTCCCTTTTTTATGGAAATCTTCTAATTTTACTAATAAAAGTTTTCCATCCAGCATTCCGCAAATCCGCGTGATTTGCTTTGTCAGAACAGGATATGAAATGCGCTCTATAAACTCTGAATCGAAATGGTATAAAGTCGACTTCCGTGATACGGAAAAAAAATGACGCATATTTTTAAAAGTTATTTCACTTCATTTCTTTTTTATTTAATCATCAATCGTAATTATTTTTCATTTCATTTTCAAATCAAAATTTAAAAGGATATGCATATTAAAACAAGCTCAGTGATGTAACGCATGCATGGATATCACGGATGATAGTCGTGCGCATGCCACAGATTGGATTGTTTCCAGTTGAATGCATTTTTACCACAATTTCTAAGTTAAATTGAATTTAATGTGCATATTATTCATTATAATTCAGCTACTTTTTTTTTTCACAAAATGTTAAAGTTATGTTAGATTTCGACATAAAAAACGGTTGTACATTCACACAGAATCGAGCAGATCTATCAATGATATTACCCAAGCTGAACAGGTTAACCAGCTAATATTAAACAATTAACGTCTAAGAGACACTGAGGGTGCTTGGGATTCCTCCACAAACACATTATTACAAAAGCAGTAGTCAAAACATGGCTGTGAAAGGTGTGAATTTCTAATGACGTCGAGATACACGGAGTCGTCCGCGCGTGACAAACAACCAGCTGACAAACAATTAGGCTAAGTAGAGCAGAAAATTGCCCCGATGTCGACATATACCAGGTAAATTTTACTCTTGGGACTGTGAATATACGTTGAGAAAAGCGGGCAAGTCGACACTACCGAGGTCGACATATCAGAGTTTTTGCAAATCATTTACATAGTAAATAATGCCCTATCAAATGCGAGTATTATTCAATTATTAAACGACGTCGCAAATCGTTCCAATACTTTTGTCCACATTCTGTACACTATCAGGATTCAAGTTTCAGCTTTTCTGGCCCAGCGGTTCTTGAGAAGATTCTTCAAGTTTTTTCCCTATATATTTCTATGTAAAACTTTGATTCCCTATTGTGACCCTGCCCAACCCCAAGAGGTGATGATCTGAACAATTTAGAATCTTCACTACCCCAGGATGCTTCCACATAAGTTTCAGCTTTTCTGGCCCAGTGGTTCTTGAGAAGAAGATTTATTAATGACCCCACCCTATTTTTGTCTTTTCTTGATTTTTCCTATACATTTCCACATTGTTTGTAAAACCTGATTCCCTATTGTGGCCGCCCTAAACCCCCAGGGGTAATGATTTGAACAATTTAGAATCTACACTACACAAGGATGCTTTCACATAAGTTTAAGCTTTTCTGGCCCAGCTGTTCTTGAAAAGAAGATTTTTTAATGACCCCACCCTATTTTTGTCTCTTCTTGATTGTCTCCCCTTGTAAGGGCCCTTCATTTAAACAGTTTGAACTCCCCTCCACCCAAGGATGCTTTGCATTAAGTTTGGTTAAAATTGGCCTAGTGGTTCTTGAGAAGAAGTCTAAAATGTGAAAAGTTTACAGACGGACGGACAGAAGGACAGCTAGACAGAATGACGGATGGACGGCAGACAAAATGTGATAAGAAAAGCTCACCTAAAGACAATAATGTATTTTAGTGTAGTCTACCTGCAGGCCACATTATATTATAATCAAAGTACAAGAGGCCCATGGGCCACATCGCTCACCTGAGTACTGTAGCTTAGAAAAAGTAGAAATTGGTTTATTATTGAAAAGTTAAAATCCAAAAGTAATCCCATGATCAATCATGGATTTCCTATTCTTCAAAGAATTTTCCAATATATTTCTATGTAAAACTTTGATCGGCCATTTTGGCCCCGCCCTACCCCCTGGGGTCATGATTTGAACAAATTTGAATCTACATTACCTGAAGATGCTTCCATATAAATATGATGAATAATGGCTTTGTCATTCTTGAGAAGAAGATTTTTAAAGAATTTTCCCATTAATTTCTATGTAAAACTTTGGTCGGCCATTTTGGCCCTGCCCCACCCCTGGGGATCATGATTTGAACAAACTTGAATCTTCACTTCCTGAGGATACTTCCATATAAATTTGATGAATTATGGCTTTGTCATTCTTGAGAAGAAGATTTTTAAAGAATTTTCCTATATATTTCTATGTAAAACTTTGGTCGGCCATTTTGGCCCCTCCCTACCCCCGGGGGTCATGATTTCAACAAAATTGAATCTTCACTACCTGAGGATGCTTCCATATAAATTTGATGAATTATGGCTCTGTCATTCTTGAGAAGAAGATTTTTAAAGAATTTTCCTATATATTTTTATGTAAAACTTTGGTCGGCCATTTTGGCTCCGCCCTACCCCCGGGGGTCATGATTTGAACAAACTTGAATCTTCACTACCTAAGGATGCTTCCATATAAATTAGATGAATTATGGCTCTGTCATTCTTGAGAAGAAAATTTTTAAAGAATTTTCCTATATATTTCTATGTAAAACTTTGGTTGGCCATTTTGGCCCCTCCCTACCCCCGGGGGTCATGATTTGAACAAACTTGAATCTTCACTACCTGAGGATGCTTCCATATAAATTTGATGAATTACGGCTCTGTCATTCTTGAGGAGAAGATTTTTAAAGAATTTTCCTAAAACTTTGGTCGGCCATTTTGGCCCCGCCCTACCCCTGGGGGTCATGATTTGAACAAACTTCAATCTACACTACCTGAGGATGTTACCCCATAAGTTTCATCTTTCCTGGCACAGTGGTTCTTGAGAAGAAGATTTTTAAAGAATTTTCCTATATATTTCTATGTAAAACTTTGTTCGGCCATTTTGGCCCCGCCCTACCCCGCCCTACCCCCAGGGGTCATGATTTGAACAAACTTGAATCTACACTACCTGAGGATGTTACCCCATAAGTTTCATCTTTCCTGGCACAGTGGTTCTTGAGAAGAAGATTTTTAAAACATGCCACCAAATTTTCATTAATTCCCAATTATCTCCCCTTGAATGAGGGCGTGGCCCTTCATTTGAACAAACTTGAATCCCCTTCACCCAAGGATGCTTTGTGGCAAGTTTGGTTGAAATTGGCCCAGTGGTTCTTGAGAAGAAGTCGAAAATGTGAAAAGTTTACAGACAGACAGACGGACAGACGGACAGACAGACGGACAGACGGACGCCGGACAAAATGTGATCAGAAAAGCTCACTTGAGCCTTCAGCTCAGGTGAGCTAAAAACTGTATTTAGAATAACATTTTGAAAGTATTTCAGAGAAATTTTTATTTTTAGTAACCATGGCAACACTATTCATCAAAATCAAAAACATGATAGAATTATGTGTCTTAGTGTAGTCTATTTGTGTGTTAAGTTATATTGGGAGGAGTAGCATTTTGAAAGCATATTTCACAGAAATTTTTATTTCTAGTTTCCACGGCAACATCGTTCATCAAAATCAAAAACCAATAAACAGAATTATGTATCTCAGTGTTACTAATCTACTTGTGTGCCAAGTTATATTGAAATCAGACTAAACCTGTAGGAGTAGTGGCATTTTGAAAGCATTTCTCAGAAATTTATATTTTTAGTTACCACTGCAACATCGTTCATGGAAATAAAAAAAGTTATTTTGTAATAATTTTGTATCTTAGTGTAGTCTACTTGTGTGCCAAGTTATTTTGAAATCAGACCAAAACTGTAAGTGGAGTAGCAATTTGAAAGTATTTCACAGAAATTTCTATTTTTAGTAACTTTGACAACACTGTTCATAGAAATCAAAAACCAATGCACAGAATTATATGTCTTAGTATAGTCTACTTGTGTGCCAAGTTACACTGAAATCAGACCAAAACTGTAAGTAGCATTTTGAAAATTGTTTTCAGACAGATGGACTGACAGACAGACAGCTAGACAGACACATTACTATCTCATAAGCTCTTCTGGTCTCTGACCAGTAGAGCTAAAAATCATCACTTTTAACAAACCAAAAATGGTGCTGTTGTCCAAGTGAAGGAAACACAAGCATTCAAAAATGCCATGGTTTTAAGAACTTTCAACTCTTTTCTCCTCAATCCTAAGATTTTTTCTTCAAAAGATGACTCCCAGGCATACATTTTTAAAACCTAGTGAGCAATAAAAATAGTACAATATAAAAAAAGTACAATATATCAGGCTTATGTTTTCTGAGTTTACTGTATAGGGGAAAAATAACTCGCGGTGTTAATATTCGCTATATTCACGGTGTTCACAAATCCGTGAATTCAAGAAACAGTGAATAAATTTTCAATTAATCTCCATGTTTTATTTGGGAGAAGAGACTACGATAGATTTATATAGGTGTACGTGCAGCCCATGGTCATTTCAGTAATTGCAAGTAGTACTGTCATTCAATTAATTTTAGTTATCACGATTTACTTTAACTCAAATCGGCAGATAATAATTTGTGTTTGTTCAAAAGCTCTTTTAATAGCCAATGCTTCATGTTTCATCAATCAAAATACGTGGGCCATGGGTTTTGATTACCCGTGCCTTACTCATGTTACCACGTGTATTTATTACCTGCATCCTCATACATATTAGTTCATGTAGTTTTTATCGACATTTTGGTTTTAAAAAATCATTCAAATAAATATCAAACTTACTGACGAAGGAAGCGTGGAACGATATTATTTCGCAGAACTACATAAAAAGTTTTATTTCCGTCCAGTCGTTTTTCGCCGCGTTGTATTGAAAATCTCGGGTGCGTATGCACTCATCGTAATAGCATATAGGAAAGTCATTTAACGTTTAGGGACTATTAATAACTGCATTTGTGTTAGTTAATCATTTATAAAATCTAACAATTTTATAATAACCTACCCTGTTGTACGTGAAATAACGCGGACATAACGCGGATTAATGTCATTTACATGTAGCTATGGTATGGATTAAATGGAGACAAGGGAAGTAACTTTTATTACATGTACATACAAAATTCCGCGAATTCAAGAAACCGCGATCGTGTCAGATGAGAGAAAAACGTGAAAATTACAACCCGTGAAATTAAACCCCTATACAGTATATGGCATTTAGTGATGTACAAGTCTAATATTTTCTCAGAATATATGACAGTTGGCGATATGCAATTTACCAGTCTCAAGTTTTCAGAGTATTTATGATATTTGGTAATCTGCTAGTCTTATGTTTTCTAAGTATATACCATATAACATTTAGTAATGTACCAGTCAGTGGTGTAGCTTCCATTAGGCACTTAAGGCATATGCCTACACTTAATTTAAAAAAAAAAATTTAACATATTTATGATTAATAAAGAAAGGAAATACATGTAAATGGCTACATATCATATTCGCTGATATGAATATTAACTAGAAATATGTTCATAGGACATGAAGTATTTTAGTAATACAACATGAAAATTTGTATTAGTGTATGAAATTAGAATATCTTGACTAGCGATGCAGTTGAATTGCTTACATCAGTATGTATCAGCATATAAAGTTTGACACTAATTTCAATAAAGTGAGGTCAAGGTCAAAGGAAATACCAAGGTCAAAAAATGTTGATGCAGTTGTAAAACTCTCATCATTATGTTCCCCAAACGAAGTTGGGGAACATATTGTTTTTACTCTGTTTCTTATTAAGGTCTTCCGTCTTCACGGAAGACCTTATAGTGATTCTACTGTTTTTTATTATTAAGGTCTTCCATTTCAGTCGGAAGACCTGATAGTGATTCTACTGTTTTTCTTCTCCTTCTTCTTATATTTTTTCCCAAATCTTGTCGGCAAGATTTCTCAGAGATGGCTGGACAGATTTTCATGAAATTTTCAGGGATGATAGAGAACCTAAATACGCCTAAGCGTTTTTTTTTTCCATTTTTTTAAAATTCACTACCGGTCGTCAGATATGTCAGATTTCCGCTTTTTTCAAAATAATTTTGTCTAAGTCATATCTCAGAAATTTCAACTTTTCTTTTTTGCAACTTTTTTTGCAACACATTATAGCATTTTATTTAAAGTTTCGAAATATATCAATCCCACCGGAAACAAAAATGGCAACTTCTGGTTATAAGAGAAAAACTAGATCATTTGAGTATTTTTCTTTCCCATAAATATTTTTTATAGTTGAAGTATTTGGATTAATTTTTGGATATTTTATTCAGACAGCAAATGTCTACAGTAACGTCAAAAATCTTTTTAAAATTCACTTCCGGTCACGTGATTTCCTGTCCTCAAAATGAGAATTTATCATAGCCAGATCTCGTAAACGGTAAGAGATTAAGACACCAAACTTCTAGGAGTGGTAGACCTTGATAATTATGCAAAACTATCGGGAATAAGATTGTCAGCCGTCACTTCCGGTCGTCACAGGAAGTGATCAAAAAAATCGAAAATTTCAACTTTTCTTTCATGAAACTCTTTTTGCATTGCATTATAGCATCTTATTTGTAGTTTCAAAATATATCAGTCTCACTGGAAACAAACACAACAACTACCGGTTATAAGAGGAAAACTACATAATTTGAGTATTTTTCTTTCCCATAAATACTTTTTATAGATAAAGTATTTGTAATGATTTTTGGATATGTTATTCAGAGTGCATATGTCTACAGTGAAGTCAAATATCTTTTTAAAATTCACTCTGTCGCGTGATTTCCTGTCGTCAAAATTAGAAATATTCATAGCTAGATCTCGTAAACGGTAAGAGATTAAGACACCAAACTTATAGGGAACCTGGTAGATCTTGATGAGCAGACAAATTCATTTGGGTTAAGATTGTCCGCCGTCACTTCCGGTTGTCACAGGAAGTGATTGAATAAATAAAAAAATTCAACTTTTCTTTATGGAATCTTTCGTAGTAATAAATTATAGCATTTTATTTGTAGTTTCGAAATATTCCGATCCCACTGGAAACAAAAACAACAACTTCCGGTTACAAACTGCATAAATTGAGTAGCATACTATCCCATAAATATCTTTTATAAAAAGAGTATTTGAAATTTTAGGACATGTTATTCAGACTGCAGATGTCTAGAGTAACCACAAATATCTTTCTTAAAATTTACTTCCAGTCGCGTGATTTCTTGTCCTCAAAATGAGAAGTTAATATTAGGAGATCTCTTAAACTGTAATAGATAAGGACACTTAATTTATATGAATAATAAACCATGAAGATTGGACAACAGATCTAGTGTATAATGCGTCCGCCGTCACTTCCGGTCATCACAGGAAGTGATAAAAAAAATTGAAAATGATTTTTATAAATGTTATTATGACTATAATTGTTTAAAGAAACGTCGAGAATCTTTGTAAGTTATACTTATATTCATAAGTTATATATGAGCTTTCCTGTAATCATTGTAAATATTATATATTTTTTAACATAGATAAAAGCTAATTCATACAGATAAATAGAGAGAACGGAAGACCGTTTTTGTTGCTGTAGCAACAAGAGTTTCTAGTTATTATTAAGGTCTTCCGTTTCCAACGGAAGACCTTCTTCTGATTCTGTTGGTAAAGATTATTATTCTTTTTTTTTCTTCTACTTCCTAGACGCCAACTTTGAAGCCTCATATCTCACTCATTTCTCCATTGATTTCACTCAAATTTTCAGAGTAATTGGAAGTTACTAAAGTCTATCAGAATGCTGTCGAAAATTTCAAAAAGTCACTTCCAGTTTTGAGTTATTTCCCTTTAAACAAATATTTATAGGATTTCGTTTCCAGACAAAGGCTCAGAGACGGCTAAAGCTGGAGCAGAAATTCTACTGATTTTAGATAATAGAAGGATTGAAGTTGTGCACATCGGTTTTTGTTTTTCGATTTCTCTATTCAAAATGGCGCTATATAGGGGTCAAAAATTACAACGCTTAAAAGAGCCAAAAATTGCTCATATTTTGCTTTTTATCTTCTAAACTAAAAATATTTTGTTAAATTATATAGAATATAATTTGTGCAGAATTAGAAGATCTTTCAAATGATATCTCGGAAAAAGGGCTGACCCCTAAATTAAGGGATCTAGAGGGGCCAAAAGATTTTTCCAAATATCTCAAAAAGTATTGAGAATTTGTTATACATCAAAGAAGCAAAGTTGTTGAAAATCTCTGGTAAAATCTACTGATGTCGTCCTGTGACATCACAAACCGGAAGTAGTCCGAAACTGCATATTTTTGCAGTTTTTGACATGTTTTGGGGAAATATTCGTCACTGGAAGCATGAAACTTAATTTTCCGTCCATCGACGTCACTTCTGGTCAAACAGGAAGTAACAAAAATGGCTTACTTTTGCAATTTTCAACATAGATTTGGAAGATTTAAATCATTAGAGACGTCATTTCTCTTTTTTCAAAAAACAAAAGTTACTTCCGGTCAAACAGGAGGGAAGACCTACTCGTTGCTTTGCAACGAGCTTTGCTCTAGTTATTATTCTTTTTCTTCTGACCAAATTTTGTGCAGGCGATTTCTCGTAAACCATTCGGTAGATTTCAATGAAATTTTTTAGAAATTATAGGACATTATATGAATTTTATATAAAATTCCGTTCTTTGGAAAATTCGGTTCCAGTGCTAAGATATGGGCAATTTCCTGATTTTAAAATGCATTTTTGTCTTTGAATGTTCTCGAAAATGGCTCAAGATATTCACTGGAGACTTATTGGAGACGATAGATCATGAGTTATAAGATGTGCAATTTTGCCTTCTTTTGCGTCGTCGTACTTCGGGTCGCTACAGGAAGCAAATTAAAAATGTGCAGTTTTTCAACTTTTTTGTTTTTCAACATTTTTCTTTGATATAATTAACATTAATGGAGACCCTACTGGAAAGGCGTAATGAATAATTCATTTTAGAATTGATCAATCAAAACACTAGATATTCGCATTGAAAAATCTGAAGCGGGTACAAGATGGCGGCTGTCTCCGTAAACTCCGCCATGGCAAGTCGGGGTCTAGAAGGTCAGCCGAGCGTTTGGATGAACAAAACTTCTACCATAAAGATCAATGAAATGTAAAGGATTCGTTGGATTGTCATGTCGCAATTACGTTGCAATTCTGTTTCAGATTATAGTTTTAATCTGAGATTTCCTCAAAAGTCTATTAAAATTGCTTTTGTCTAAATATTTTGTAATAAATGCAAGTTATTGAACATAAATAGTATCAGATTCCTTGACCATTGGAGAGTGAGAGTTTTTTTTT